GAGTGAGACTCCAACTCAAAAAAAAAAAAACAAAAAAAACCCAGGTCCAAAGTTCACATGCTGCGTTTACTCAACTTTGGTATCCTTAAATTTTTTAAATAAACTTCTTACTTTTTTTCTTCTTTTCTCTTCTCTCTGCATTCCTCATAATGTGGTGTCAGTTAATGTAGGACAAGTGTCACCTTGGACTTTATGGTCTATTTTCACGTCAGTGGATGTGCTTGGAAGTAAGGCTATCCGTGAAATCCCTAAGAGTTTATGTAGTATTTTGTGTTCCTGTGCACATATGTTTTTTTAACAGAACAAAGAAGAGTACGTGAAAATACTCATAATTTTAAATTGTAACTAAGGTTTGTTGGGGGAAGGGGAGATACTTGATTAGTTTTGCTACATTTTAGCCACATGTAATTTACAAAATTGTTCATAGCTACAGATCTATAACAGGTCAGCAAATATGTATGAATTGCCAGCTGTGCCATTTTCACTAACTAGTATATTAACAAACCAATTTAAATATTTTGAGTGCTGAATTCAACCAAAGATGGCTAGATTCTGTGCCACCATGACAAGTGGTATCTTAGAAAATCTCAAATAATTCCTGTAAATATTTACATAGGGTCCCATTTAATTAAAGTACAGGGTAAACATTGGTTAAATAAAAGGTAATTTAAAGTGGTTAATTCTCAACTGGTATACTGTATTCAACATACTGTTTATGTATATAGCGTAATTTTAAGTTAGTGATTGTATCCTTAGATTAAAAATATTATAGGCCAGCACAGTAACTTACGCCTATAATCACAGCACTTTGGGAAGCTGAGGTGAAAGTATTGCCTGAGCCCATAGGTTCAAGACCAGCCTGGTCAACTTGGTGAGACCTCATCTCTACAATAAATAAAAAAATTAGCTTGGTGTTCCAGCTATTCTTCCGAGGTGGAAGAATCACTTGAGCCCAGCAGGTTGAATCTGCGGTGGCCATGAGCGTGCGCAGAGTGAGACTCCAACTCAAAAAAAAAATATATTATAGATTAAATTAATTTTGGTTGGTTGGGATTTGGGGGCTTTATTGTCTTTTTTTTCCATACTCAGTTTGTTATACAGTTTAGCAAATGTGAATTAGGTAAGACCCAAACTATCTATATCACGTATCTTTATGCATCTACATAAAATCAGAAACATAAGCTTGCATTGCTGGGCTGATGATATGAACAAGAATACAGAGGAAACAGCCCCGTTACTTACAGGACTAGGGGTGACACTGAAGCAAACTAGTTCTTGAAAGATACATAGGTATTCACCAAAGGAAGAAAAACTTGAATGAGAGAATATATTTTATAAAATAAAAGTGTTTATAAAACTTTGAATGCCTCTTTCTGACCTGCAGGTGATGAGGGGAGTATGCCAGCTGATATAGCCACATTACTAAAAACATCAATGGGCTTGTGAAATAAGAATTGTGAATTCCTAATTGATGATGAAATATCAACTTGGTGCACTCAAGAACATTCACATTATGATGACCATGGGGTTTATGAACATTTATAACTTTTTATAATTTCCATATTGCATTTCTCATAATATGGACAACTTTTTTGCCACTAACTGAATTCTCCAGATACTCACGTGAAATTTCAAAAAAGCCACAAAGATGTAGTCCTGAAGATGTTGAATAATCATTTTACAAAGCAGTTTTCTGAAAGGGGATTAGTTGGTGACTGTTTGTAACAAATATGCTAATGCTTTAGAAATGTCAGTATTTTTGTAATTATTTCTACCTCCAAATATATATATATTGTCTTTCACTGGATAATGTGTGTAGATTTTTACATGTGCCTTATTTGACAATGCTTATGTCTTGTTTTTGCTTGTCTCATTTGAAGTTTTTTTTTATTATGTTAGTTTTAAATTGCAGCTGTATAGATTATATAGCTTTCATTTTATTGCTATTTGAAGCAGATGTTCACCAATGTCAACAAGAACTCAACCTGAATTTAAAGGTGGCATTCCATATACCAACATCCCCCAGGTCCTCTCAAGTACTTCTGTTACAGCAGATTTGTTTGGCTAGGCACTAAGTTGTTTTCCAGTGAATAGTAACTAAAAAAGCCCTTCTCTCACTCCATGGATTAATTCCTTCTGTTCACTTCCCAACTGCACTAATTGTGCTTATTGCTCTGCCTACTCTTGTGCATGTTTTCATTGATTTCCCTCTCCTGGCCTTTGCTTCTCTTGAAACTGTTGCCCAGTCACTTCTGCTCCAGTTCTCTTCCTCTCTCAACAGTAGTTTATTCTTGCCACATCTCCGCACACGAGCAGAATGTTGGTGACATTTTTCTAACCTGTCAGAACAGATTCACTTAAAACTATTTCACTTAAAAGCAGACTGAGTGTGACTTAATCTCAAGGCAGCATTAGATACTGCATGGAAATAGGTCATTAACTTTAAACTCTTATCAAGATATAATTTACCAGTTTCCAGAATTTCCAGTACAGGACCGCCCGAAGAGAGAGCCAGAGTTCAGTTTCAATTCAGTGTGGGTGACAGTGTGACACTCAGAAGAAGTAAAGTTGTCTATTTGATATTTAACTCTTTATTAACTCTTTCTTTAAATTTCTGCCTGTCAGTCTATATTGCTGTTTTTATTATACACCAGTTTCTTTGTATAACTTGTGAGTTTCATGTTTTGTTTTTATTATGTAAATATCATTATAAATAAACTTATTTATAAATCAAAGATTTGTTAATTTTTCGAGATCATAGTTTTCAGGGCATCCTAACTTGTTAAGATGCTAGTAGTATAACCCTCTGGATTTAGAAAGTGAATAAAGCCCTTACAGTGATGATTTAGATATTACAGACTTAGAGAACTCATGGCTCAGTAGACTTAACCCAGCCTTGAAGGTATATTTAACATCCTGAATGTATTTTAGCACTACAGGGCTAAAAGGAATCTTCAAATGTTAATACTACCTCCTTGTGCATCACAGTACCCAAATCACTTAGTCACATTGTTGGCAATATTACCTTTTAAAATCTCATAATAGATTGGTCATAACTTTTCTGTATGAATGTATTTTTAATCATAGGCTATTTCTTTTGTTGTTATTGTTATATCCATATTTTTATCTCTTATGAAATGTAGTTGGGTTCTCCCTGTAATGCTTTATTATGTCTTGGGCTTAATAAAAATATTTGTGATCATAAGTTGTATTTTCACACCCTTTTTAATAGTTTCTAACCCTCCCTCCTCTTGCCCTTCAAAATGTATGTAATATTGCACCAGGCACAGTGGCTCACACCTGTAATCTCAGCACTTTGGGAGTCTGAGATGAGAGGATTGCCTGAGTCTAGGGGTTCAAGACCAGCCTGAACAACTTGGAGAGACCTTGTCTCTACAATAAATAAAAAAATTAGCCATGTGTGGTGGCACATGCCTGTGGTTCCAGCTACTTGAGAGGCTGAGGTAGAAGGATCATCCAAGCCCAATAGGTCGTGACTGCAGTAGCCATGAGCATGCCACTCACTCCAGCCTGGGTGACAGAGTGAGACTCTGACTCAAAAAAAATGTATGTAATATTGAGCACAAATGAGATCATCCCATATGCCCAATATTGTCTGTCAATAAACTGACATTTATTAGTTGAGATGTATTCTGATCAGTGGCTTCAATAAGTATCATAGCCCATCATCAGTAAAGAGCAAATGAAGCCACAGGTGGCTGTATCATTTGTATTCTTATCAGTGATGAATGCAAGTTCCAAATCCTCACCAGCATTTGGTGTTTTGGTAGTGTCTGTTTTGGATGTTCACCAAATAGTTCTGCAGCAGTATCTTACTTTAATTTGCTGTTCCCAAATGACTTTATGTTGGGCACCTCATCATATGCTTATTGCTATCTGCGTATATTCTGCAGTAAGGCATCTATTCAGGTCTCTTGCCTGATTTTATTATTGTTGATTTTTAAGCATTTTTTGTATGTTTTGGATAGCAGTCTTTTATCAGACACGTGTTTTTGCAAATAATTTCTTCCTACCTGTGGCTTCTATTGATCTATGGAATATCTACATCTCTTGTCATAGCCACTGTCCTCATTTGCATCAGTAAGCTCACTTTTATCCAGTTCCTGGCTGTCTATCTAGAGCCTCTTGAACTGTAGCTGTGTCAGCTTTCTACAGTCAGCACCTTTCTCTGTAACTTTGTTTATGCTCAATTCGAAATTCATTCCAGCATGATCACACTTTGTTCCTTTGCCACCACCCCCCCTTTTTTTGAGTTGGGGTCTCTGTCACCTAGGCTGGAGCACGGCACATGCTCTGGCTCACTGCAGCTTGGAACTGTTGGGTTCGGGTGATCCTTCTGCCTCGGCCTCCCAAGTAGCTGGGACTACAGGTGCATGCCACCATGCCCAGTTAATTTAAAATTTTTTTGTAGAAGTGCGATCTCATATTGGCCAGGTGGGTCTCAAACTCCGGGCTGCAAGCGATCTTTCTGCCTTAGCCTCCCTAAGTGCTGTAATTACAGATGTGAACCACTGTGCCTGACCTGCCTTTTCCTCTTTGTTGGAGAGTTCCTTTTTTTATTCGCTTTTGAAAAAATGTCCAATGGATTTATCACTGGGCAGCAAGCAGGTAATACAAGGTCACATTTCTCTGCGTGAATAACAGATGTGCAGACTTTTCATCATTGACAGTCTTTGAAAGAAGTGACATGACTAGTCATTGGTCATTATGTGTGTCTTATTTACGTAGTGATTTGTGTAATGAAGAGCTGCTAGCAAGGTTTATATTTTATGCAGCTACTGTTCATATACTATGGTAGCTGAAGTTCAAACGTTTTTGGGGGGAAACGTTATTTAAGCCATTGTGACAAAAATTCATGCATGTTGGAACAAGTGCAAAGTAAGTTCTGCCTGTATTATAAACTCTTTTTTCTCAATTACAAATGATGTGAAGCTATTCTGGGAAGAAACCAAAAATGCCTTTAAAAATTTTTTTTAAACAATATGGCTAAAGTGAAAGTCGTGGTGGAGCTGGGGAGGGGAGCATGTGGATTATCTGGGAAGCTGACGTAGCTGTTTTCTCCTGTGGGAGAGATGCCCTTGAGGATAGCAAAGCTGGCAGGTGGCATGCATCGACTACAGTTTGGTTTGGGGCCTTTGCTGTATCCACTTAGCAATGGCGGGAATGGCTTGGACTTTCTTCCGTAAAGTCACCAACCTGGGATGAGTGTCCAACAAGTCAGGCTTAAAGACCAAAAGCGTGGTACTGCAAATATCCCAGAAGAAATCTGCCCAAGTTACCTAGTTTAAAGGAAACAAGCTTTTCAATTGAACATAAAACTTTACAGCATTCCAAAATTTAATTTCTTAATCCAAAAGATAGTTTCTTTTAAATTCAAAATAATTCTTGTTATTACAAAAGCAGAATGTATATGGTAGAAATTTAGAAAATGACTGATAACATCATACTCCCAACACCCAAACATTGCTACTGTTACCATTTTAGTGTACTCATATCAGGTATTTTTCTATGCAGTTGGGTGAATGGAGAGATCTTACTAACATGCAAGCTTAATGATACATACTCTTTTGTAACCAGGTCCAATCTCTACCTCTCTGACAACATATTTAAAAAAAAAATTTTTTTTTTAGTTGGAGTCTCACTGTGTCCACCCAGGCTGGAGTGCAGTTGCACACTCATGGCCACCACAGCCTCAACCTGCTGGGTTCACACGATCCTTCTGCCTCAGCCTCCTGAGTAGCTGGAACTACAGGCATGCACCACCACACCTAATTTTTTTATTCATTGAAGAGATGAGGTCTCACCAAGTTGCCCAGGCTGGTCTCAAACCCCTGCGCTCAGGCAATTCTCTCACTTCCACTTCCCAAAGTGCTGGGATTACAGGTGTGAGCCACCACACTAAGCCACATTTTAATCTTATAACCAATCCATATTTTTACATCTGTTCCAAAAAAAAAAATGTCCTTTACTAGACAAAGCAGGATCCTCTCTAGGTCTATGTGTTTCTTCTGATTGTGTCCTTAACTCTTTATAACAGTGTCTTTTTCATGTCACAGAATTATTGAAGATTCTACACATCCTACAGAAAGTTCTGTCTTCAACTGTGTGATTATTTTCTCGTTTACCTTGTTTCTTTGTCCTACATGGCATAACATAAAGGAATAGGGTGCCATTTATTTCTAGCTAATAGTTTCAAGTGAGATATTGTTGGCTAAAATACATTAAATTACATCATGTCAGAAGCAGTAACTTGGCTGACTGACCACTAGTGAAATGCAAAGATTGGCACCTGGATTACAGTAGTGACAGCCTGGTCCTACTATTGTACAGGTGCATGAACTTGCTTTACTAAACATCTCTCAGCCCAGAGAATCTATTGGTTTGAAGATTCCGAATTCAGCCAATAAATGCCTCTTATGTGCCACACCCAGGTCTAGGTGTTGGAGACTGATGGAGAGCCAAATAAGGTACAAGCCTCTTCTCTGATGCAGCTTTTATTTTAGAAAGGAGAAGACCCATAAAACATGCAAACTGAGGCCAGGCATGGTGGCTCACTGTAATCACTCATGCATCAACTACAGTTTGGTTTGGGGCCTTCACTGTATCCACTTAGCAATGGCGGGAATGGCTTGGACTTTCTTCTGTAAAGTCACCAACCTGGGATGAGTGTCCAACAAGTCAGGCTTAAAGACCAAAAGCGTGGTACTGCAAATATCCTAGAAGAAATCTGCCCAAGTTACCTAGTTTGAAAGAAAAAAATAATCTGTAATCCCAGCACTTTCGGAGCCCAGGGCGAGAGGATTGCTTAAGCCAGGGATTCAAGATGCTTCAGCAACTTGGCAAGACCTCGTCTCTACAGTAAACCCCAAAATTAACTGTGTGTAGTGGTGTGTGCCTGTAGTTCCAACTAATTGGAAGGCTGAGGTAGAAGGGTCACTGGGTCCAGGAGGCGGAGGCTGCAGTAATTGTGATTGTGCCACTGCACTCCAGCCTAGGCAACATAGTGAGACTATGACTCAAAAACCAAAACCAAAAAGACCCTGCAAGTTGAAAGGAGTGAAGAACAAGTTAAGCAGTGAGATTGGACTATCAGGTATTCAGGGTAGATCTTTAAGTGGTGCCATGTAACTTGAATGATTAAAAAAAAAAAGGCCCAGACATGGCAGTAACAGGGATTATGCATTCCAGGCAGAAGGATCAATCAGTGCAACATTCTTAGGCGGGAGTGTGACCTGTTTTTGAGAAATATGGTGTGTCTGAAGCACTGAAGAAGCAAGAGAGTGCTCAGATGGAGTTGGAAGATGGTTTCCAAGAGAATTTTAATAGAAAACAAAAAAATTCTTAGAAATTATTCAATCAATAGGGCAGGAAAAGGAACATTATAGGAAAGGCTATGGGGGAACAAATGAAGGAGGATGTGATGAGGTTAAAAGATGAGAATAAGGGGGGGCTTGGTGGCTCAGCCTGTAATCTAATCCCAACACTTTGCAAGGCCGAGGCAAGAAGACTGGGCCCAGGTGTTCGAGACCAGCCTGGGCAACTTGGTGAGGCCTCATCTCTACAATAAATCACAAAAAAACTAGCCAGGTGTGGTGGCGTGTGCCTGTAGTTCCGGCTGCTTGGAAGGCTGAGGCGGAAGGATCGCCTGAGCCCAGCAGGTTGAGGCTGCGGTGGCCATGAGCATGCCTCTGCACTCCAGTCTGGGCAACAAGAGTGAGACTCCGAGCTGGGCTTGGTGGCTCAGCCTGTAATCCCAGCGCTTTGGGAGGCTGAGGTGAGTGGATTGCCTGAGCCTGCGGGTTCGAGACCTGCCTGTGTAGGCGAGACCTCATCTCTACAATAAATTTAAAAAAAATTAGCCGGGCATGGTAGCGCGCGCCTGTAATTCTGGCTACTTGGAAGGCTGAGGCGAAAGTATCGCCGGAGCCCAACAGGTCGAGGCTGCGGTGGCCGGGAGCGGCCACGCACTCCAGTCTGGGTGAGAGTCAACTCAAAAAAAAAAAAAGAGTGAGACTCCAACTCAAAAGAAAAAAAGATGAGAATAAAAATGTAGCAAGTTTACTCGTGCATCACCCCAAAGGATTGAACAGGGCAGACCGTGATCATGATAATGTCACAGTGCTGCAAAAAAGCAATCTGCCCAGTTTCCTAGAATGCAGCCTCCTTGGGGGCAGGGACCCCTACCATAATATCCACAGCTTTAGATTTGACTTTTTGGCAAGACTACTCATAGGCGGTGGGTGGTGTGTGCCCCTCTACTGGAAGACCGGAAGGGTCTGGTTGTCTCGCTTTTTTGTGATTATTAATGATGATCAATATCTAGGCCTGGCCGGGCTCAGTGGCTCAGCCCGTAATCCCGCGCTTTGGGAGGCCGAAGTGAGTGAATTGCCTGAGCCCGTGGGCTTGAGACCCACCTGGGCAACTTGGTAAGACCTCATCTCTACAATAAATAAAAAAAATTAGCCAGGGGTGGTAGCACATGCCTGTAATTCCAGCTACTCGGAAGGCTGAGGCGGAAGGATCGCCGGAGCCCAGCAGGTCGTGACTGTGGTGACCGAGAGCGGCCACTGCACTCCAGTCTGGGAGACTAAGTGAGACTCCAACTCAAAAAATATATATATATCTAGGCCTGTTAATTCTTCAGTGGTTGGAAAGTGGTTATAGTCTTTACTTCTGATCTACTAAATGGAATACTTTTATAAGAGAAATGTTTTCAACTGATGGAAATACAAAATGCCTTTTTTGTGTATCTTAAGATAAAATACATCATGAATTTTTACTGTTAACCCAAGTTCAAAAATGTTAACCTTACTGATCTTACATCTCTCTTTTATTCCACACTGAAGATCCTGGTTCTCAATGACATCAACACATTTATTTCTATAATAATACTAGAAAAGCAATACCAGTAGTGCCTAGTACCACCAAAGATATGATTACTGAAAATGATGAAGCTAGGTGCAGTGGCTCACGCCTGTAATCCCAGCACATTGGGAGGCAAAGGCAAGAGGATTGCCCGAGTCCAGGGCCTTCAAGACAAGCCTGAGCAACATGGCAAGACCTTGTCACTACAATAAGTCAAAACATTAGCCTGGCATGGTGGCCCACACCTGTAGTTCTAGCTACTTGGAAGGCTGAGGCAGAAGGATCACCCAAGCCCAGCAGGTCGAGGCTGCGGTGGCCTTGAGTGTGCTATTGCACTCCAGCCTAGGCAACACTCAAACAAAAAGAAAATCGTGTATTTCTTTTCATTCTTTTTTTTTTTTGGATGCAGGGCCTCACTCTGTCACACAGACTGAGTTAGTTCAGGGGATACTTCCACCTCAGTCTCCCTAGTAGCCGGGACTACAGGCACACACCACTATGTTGGGCTAACGTTTTTGTTTTTTGTAAACCCAAGGGCTCACTATATTGTCCAGGCTGGTCTTGAAGTCCTGCGCTCAAGCAATCCTCCTGCTTCAACCTCCCAAAGTGCTGAGATAACGGGCTTGACCCACCGTGCCCTGCCCAAATGAAAATATTTCTTGAAGTAGTTCTTCACACAGCAGATACCTATTCTCTGGGCACTCATCTCTTTTGCACAATTAGGTTCATTTGTTTCACTTGCTTGTGATTTTTAGGATGGCTTTTCAAAATTTTTTGTCGTCATATAATTATATGAAACATAGTAATTAAAGTTACTAGAAAAAAATTTATTGAAAGTTCTTTAGCTTTTGTCCCTGCTATCTACTCTATTCTCTCCCAATGGTTAACTTTTTTTCCAATAGGTTTTTGTATGTTTTTGGTTTATTCTTTTATTTGCCACTTTATATTAGCTTGTATTTTTTAACATTGTAATTCATACTCACAGAGTTACCAATAAGCCACTCTTTTTCCCCCAAATATGTGTCCAAATCTTGCAGAAGATGAGGTACATCACATGTAAGCAGGTGATTAAACATCTGGTCCTAGGAAAGAGGAAATATTACTTTAAGAATAACAAGAAGAAACATAAATAATAGTATTTGAAGAGGAAGTCAATTTCTTCACCTTTATTCTCCCACATGGGTTCAGAATAAAAAAAAAAATAGATACTTCCCCCCCCCCCCCAAGTTTATGACATTATAGAGATTCAGGTCTGATTCTATTTTGATCTTAGTTCATCTCTTTATTACTCATGGATTAAGAAATAAACACTTATGTCATTAGTTCTTTTTTTTCTTTTTTTTTTTTTTTAAGTTGGAGTCTTACTCTGTTGCCCAGGCTGGAGGGCAGTGGCATGCTCCCAGCCACCGCAGCCTCAACCTGCTGGGCTCAGGCTATCCTTCGGCCTGAGCCTTCCAAGTAGCCAGAACTATAGGCACACACTATCACGCCTAGCTAATTTTTTTTATTTATTATAGGGACGAAGTCTGGCCAAGGTGCCCAGGTTAGTCTTGAACCCGTGGGCTCAGACAATTCACTCGTCTTGACCTCCCAAAGTGCTGGGATTACGGGCTGAGCTACCGAGTCCAAACTGTTATTAGTTCTTACAGTTTCTTTATGTATAATGGCTAAATATTTTACCCATAGAATCTTTTTTATCTTAATTTTTTATTAATGAATTTGATTCCATTATATTTTTAGATTTCAAAACTTCCTCTTTTTCTTTTTCTTCTTCTTCTTTTTTTTTTGAGTCAAAGTCACCCTGTCACCTAGGTTGGAATGCAGTGGCACATTCACAGCCATCACAGATTCGACCTCCTGGGCTCATGTTATCCTTCTGCCTTAGCTTTCAGGTAGCTGGGACTACAGATGCCACCACACTCAGCTAATTTTTTTGATTTATTGTAGAGATGAGGTCTTACCAAGTTGCCTAAGCTGGTCTCGAACCCCTGGGCTCAGGCAGTTCTCTCACCTTAGTCTCCCAAAGTGCTGGGATTATGGGAGTAAGATACTGAGCTTGGCAATTCCTCTTTTTCTTAACCCAGCTAATTTCAAGTTAAATAATATCACTGAAGGTAAAGAAATTCATTTTATTTTGTAAGGCTAGACTCCTCCAGTCGACAGTTCTTCGTGTTACCATTGCATTTAACACATATAATCATAACAAATCATTATGATCTTGGGCTTTTATGTATTTTCTCTCTGGCCTGCCATTTCACCTTGGAATAAGATGTGTCTGCCTTGAATATCATCTATGAAACACATAATTCAATTACTCCTTTTACTCTGACTCAAAAAAAAAAAAAGAAAGAAAGCTTGCCATTCTTTTGGCTTTATGTCTTTTCCCCTCTTCTATATGGTGCTCATGGTTAATATGTTAAGAGTTTTATTTATTTATTTATTTATTATTTATTTTATTTTTGAGTCAGAGTCTCACTCTATCACCCAGGTTGGAGTGCAGTGGCATGTTGCTCACGGGCATCACAGCCTCAACCTGCTGAGCTCAGGCAATTCCTCCACCTCAGCCTTCCAAGTAGCTGGAACTACAGGCATGCACCACCATGCCCGGCCTTTTAAAAAAATTATTATTTATTGTAGAGATGAGGTCTCGCCAGGTTGTCCAGGCTGCTCTTGAATCCATGGTCTCAGACAATCTTCTCATCTTGGCCTCCCAAAGTGCATGGATTACAGATGTGAGCCACCATGCCCAGCCGTATTTATTTTTTTAAATAATTTATTGTAGAGACGAGCTCTTGTCATTTTGCCAGGCTGATCTCAAATTTCTAGGTTCAGGCAATCCTCTCACCTTGGCCTCCCAAAGTGCTTGGATTACAGGCATGAGCCACTGCACCCAGCCTAGTTTTAATATAATGTTATGAGTAAGTCCTTCTAACTTGTACAGAATCTGTGAGGAGATTGAAGGCAGCGGGCCCAGAACCATGTGGCACTTTCCAGAGAGCTGCTCACCCTAGTATCAGAAAGGTCATGGCCAACTTGACTGTTCTAGGGTAACTAGAAACAGGAGGCAGTTGAACAGAACAGCATGTTCTGCTGGGCAACTTTCCCCAAATTCCTGGGGACATGCCTAGGAAATTCTCTTCTTCTAATACACATTTCCACAGCCTCAGGTATGCCAATGCTTATGTATTTGCAGCGCCAAATAAAACTATTCTATCTGTGCTATTGACTTCTCCTGCCCAGGTTCTCCTTACAAGGTTGGTGAATCACTTCAGTAAAATCAAATGTAAATTAGCAAGTAGCATAATAATTGTTAAGATTTATTTTTAAGAACACTCACCAAAATAGTATAAGATGAAATTTGATTGTACATCATTTTTAAAGGTGTGTGTGTGTGTGTGTGTGTGTGTGTGTGTGTGTGTATGTGTTTTGAGTCAGGATCTCGCTCTGTCATCCAGACTGGAGTGCAGTGGTATGATCATGGCTCACCACAGCCTCGACTTCCTGGGCTCAGGCGATCCTCCCACCTCAGTCTCCCAAGGAGCTGGGACTACAGGTGCATGCCACCACAGCTAGCTAATTTTTAAAATTTTTTGTAGAGATGGGGATCTCGCGATGTTGCCCAGGCTAGTCTCAAATTCCTGGCCTCAAGCAATCCTCTGGCCTTGGTCTCCCAAAGTGCTGGGATTACAGGCATGAGTCACTGCACCCAACCAAGATTTATTTTAAAGAACACTCACTAAAATAGTATAAGATGAAATTTGCATATACATTATTTTTTTTCAAGATGTGTGTGTGTTTTTTGTTGTTTTTTTTTGAGTTAGAGTCTTACTCTGTCACCCAGGCTGGAGTGCAGTGGATACTCAGAGCCAACACAGTCTCAATCTGCTGAGCTCAGGCAATCCTTCTGCCTCAGCCTTCCAAGTAACTTTAACCACAGGCATGGGCCACCATGTCTGGCTAATTTTTGGATTTATTGTAGAGGTGAGGTCTTGCCAAGTTGCTCAGGCTTGTCTCGAACCCCTGAGTTCAGGCAGTCCTCTCGTTCAGCCTCCCAAAGTGCTGGGATTACAGGCATGAGCCACCGCGCCTGGCAAGATATGTATTTTAAAAATACGTTTTTCATAAATCCTAGACAGTCGTTCATATTTGATGAACTCAGAAATGTCCTCCTCCCCCTTCCTGAACAGGAGGCTTTTTACCCAGAGAAGTCATTGTTCTCGTACTCTAACAGATGACTTTTAGAGAACAGAGAAAGGTTTGTGTGTTTCTCCAAACATTTTCTTAAAATTCGCACTGCCAAAATCATTTTGTATTGAAACTGAGCCATTAGAATTCCCTCAAAACTTCTCATCCTCCATTTCCACTATGTTCTTCACATGAGGAAATTGAAACAGATATACTGAATAACCAAGTTAACGGTAAGTTCAAGGACTGTCTGGTGACCAATGTCCAGAGACATATGTTACCTTTAATTTAAAAACAAAATTAGCCAAGCACATTGGCGCACATATATAATCCCAGCACTTGGGAGGCCAAGGCGAATGGATTGCCTGAACTCGTGAGATTGAGACTAGCCCGGACAACTTGGCGAAACCTTGTCTCTACAATAAATCAAAAATTAGCTGGGCATCGTAGCATGTGCCTACAGTTCCGGCTACTTGGAAGGCTGAGGCAGAAGGATCTTCGGAACCCAGCAGGTTGACACTGGGGTGACCGTGAGCGTGCCACTGCACTCCAGCCTGGGCGGTTGAGTAAGACTCCAACTCAAAAAAACAAAAAAAATTTAGCCAAGCGTGGTGGCTTACGCCTATAAGCCCAGCACTTTGGGAGGCCGAGATGAGAGGATTGCCTGAGCCCAGGGGTTAGAGACCAACCTAGACAATTTGGAGAGCTCTCATCTCGACAATAAATTAAAAAATTAGATGGGCATAGTGGTGCATGCCTGTAGTTCCAGCTACTTGAAAGACTGAGGTGGCAGAATCACCTGAGCCCAATAGGTCAAGGCTGTGGTGGCTGTGAATGTGCCACTGCACTTCAGTGTGAGACTCTAAAAAAAAAAACTAAATACATAAAATAAATTTTAAAAATAAATAATGGGATTTTTAGTAACAAAACTGAAACATCTATAAGTGTTGTGTATATCTGATGAATTTTTAGAGCACATAGAATATTTTCACTATCCATCTTTACTATATCAATATTCTAACTTTGAGATTTTAATCTGACCACAAGGTGGCAGCAATGCAACACAAAACAAAGAAATAGCGATGAAATACAGAACTGCATTTTTCTTAGTTTACTAGCCAGGGTCCTGCGTGTTAATAGATAGTCTACAGCTCTTAGCAGTGTTTCTGCAACATGTTCTCCCTTCATATGATTTACTCATGAACTTGAAGTGCTATGTCCTGTGAAATTGTTTTTTAAGATAGGTGGTATGTAAGAGCATTGTTATTAGAATACAAAGGTAGAGTGTTACTCTTGTCATAAATGTTCAAGGAATACTTACTTTCCTCTGAGAGGTGGCCTCTGTCATGGAGCCTCAGCCACAGAAGTGATGAAAATAAAGAAGTAGAGAGGGCAAGCTGATAGAGGGCCCATTGCCGGGGGTTCTTTGGCACATGAAACAGAAAACATTAGACACCTCTTTCTAAATTGGGGAATATGTATCTACTTGTCTCTGCTTTTATAAGGATGTGTAAAATATAGATGCTGTGTCTGACAAATATAAGGAAAAACAATTCACACTGAACTACAGAACACTGTATTAATTATAGCAGTTAATATGTATTGACCGCTTTCTACCTAGACCTAGATACATAGGCTGCCATTGAATCCAAAGCAGAGTGTATTATATTTCCACTTTACAGACAAAGAGTTGGAACCATAGATAGGAATGTTAAGTGACAGCTAGTAAGAAAAGATTCAAGCATGGCAGTCTGACTCCAGAGCCTGAATGTATTTATGTCAAAACATTGCTGTATTTCTGTCATCAAAGCTGAGCCTTATTGTCCTGGGTAGGCATATGTATGCATAGTGTGTGTCCCTCATGTCTTTCATTTATATCAGAGAGTCAGTACATGTAAATACTTTTATGCCCAAATATCTCTTCAAATCAGGAGGTCCCAGCTAAATAAATAGTATTTAGAATAAATACTAAGTGCTTAAATGCAGAGTATGCATTTAAATATGTGCTCAGGTAAATTGATAAGACTGCCTACCATTTGTTGTTCTGTGCTGTGGCTTGGCTACAGACATTTAGCTTGAGCCTGTATATAAATATTCATGCACAGCTGTTTTGAGCAGCTGTTGGCATGGTGGCATTACACCTAGTGGTTAAGAACATGGGGTCTGAGTCAGACTGACTGGGATTTGAATTCCTTGAATACCACTTCTAGCAGAACAATCTTAGGCGAGTTATTCGCTCTACATGAAACTCAATCTCCTTATCTAGAAAATGAGGATAACAACAGTTGAATCCTAAAGGGGTGCTCTGGAAATTTGTTTACAATTTAAGCAATTATGCATAGGTGATGAGGTTATAGGTCTGGGACCAGCTGTCTGCGCTCAGATCACAGTTCCAACACTTGTGACTTTGGGCAACTCCATGATGGCTGTTTCTCAGTTTCTTTATCTGGAAGGTGAACATGATGACAGAATTTTACTTCCTTACATACCTGCCGTATTAATAACCACTCTTACTACTTTCTTATGTATTCTTCCATTGTTTTTTATGGAAATACAAGCAGATAGTATATATTCCATTAGCTATGCCTCCTCAATCCCATGTGCCCTGCAGATCTCTTCTTACAAGTAACTGAAGAGCATCCTTGCTCCTTTATTCCCCATCCACCTCCTTAGAGTTTTGAATAAACTTTTTCTTTCTTCATTTTAATTTTAAAAAAAATTTTTTTAAAATAGAGGTGGGGTCTTGCTATGTTGCCCAGGCTAGTCTGGAATAAGGCAAGTACTAATTTTGAGGAGGAAAAGTGAGAAAGGAAATATTATACTTTAATGCACAGTTCTGTGTAATATTTGCATAGACATACTAATGTAATCACTGAAATTGATTTAACCAAGTAACTTTCATACTACTATATTGAGAGCTTGAGAAAAGAGAAGCAGAGAAAATGACTATGTAAGAGATAAATCCTTGTTACAAGTTGAGTAATTATCCTGAATGCTTGGGACCAGAAGTGTTTCAGATTTCAGACTTTTCTAGATTTTGGAATACTTAAATATACATGGGATATCTTGGCATTGGGACCTAAGTCTAACAAAGTTCACTTAGGTTTCTTATATACCTTATATATATAGCTTAAAGTTAATTTTATACAATATTTTAAATTAACTTTGTGCATGAAACAAAGTTTGTGTTAAATACTTATGTGTGGAATTTTCCACATGTAATATCATGCTGGCACTCAAAATCTTTTAGATTTTGGAGCATTTTGGATTTTGGAGTTTTGGATTAGAAATACTCGACCTGTACTATCATAAAAAGTCAATAGACACTGTCTAAAAATGGTCAAAGAAACACATATTTGCATATCTTATAGAAATATAAAGATATAACTGAGTGCGGTGGCTCACACCTGTAATCCCAACACTGTGGGAGGCTGAGGTGAGAGGATTGCCTGAGTCCAGGGACTTGAGACTAGCCTGGGCAACTTGGTGAGACCTTGTCTCTACAATAAATCCAAAAATTAGTGGGGCATAGTGGTACGTGCCTGTAGTTCCAGCTTCTTGGAAGGCTGAGGCAGGAGGATCGCCTGAGCCCAGCAGGTTGGGGCTGCAATGGCTGTGAGCATGCCACTGCACTCCAGCCTGGGTGACAAGAGTGAGATTCCAACTCAAAAAAAAGAAAAGAAAAAAAAAGAATAGAAGACTCTAAAATAAGATGTTAGCAACAATTTCCTATGGGTGGCATAGCATAAAGTTAAAGTTTGTTTTTTTCCCCTGCTGGTCTGTATTTTGCAAATTTTCCACAATAAGCATGTATTACTTTTGTCAAATTTTTTTTTTAAATGAGGATTGAAGGGTGAGTTAAATAGAATAGTGGAATGCTAACCGGGCTCGGTGGCTCAGCCTGTAATCCCAGCACTTTGGGAGGCTGAGGTGAGTGGATTGCCTGAGCCCACGGGTTCGAGACCCGCCTGGGCAACTTGGTGAGATCTCATCTCTACAATAAAATCAAAAATTGGCTGGGTGTGGTAGCGCGCGCCTGTAGTTCCAGCTACTTGGAAGGCTGAGGCGGAAAGATCGCCGGAGCCCAGCAGGTCAAGGCTGTGGTGCCGGCAGCGACCACTGCACTCCAGTCTGGGCGACAGAGTGAGACTCCAACTCAAAAAACAAAAACAAAAAGAATAGTGGAATGCCAATAGCCCTTGATTGAGTTCCTTCTGCAGTACTCCCGGTAGTGACCTGGCCCCTTATGTTTCATCCCTCTGGTGGGCTGGGAACTTGCTGTTCCCCAAAATGACCCAATTCATCTTTAAGCAGCTTTGACTGAAAGAAAGTTATCTTTTAGGTCAGCACTTTGGGAGGCCGAGGCAGGAAGATTGCCTGAGACCAGGGGTTTGAGACCAGTCTGGGCAACTTGGGGATACCTCGTCTCTACAATAAATCAAAAAATTAGCCGGGCATGGTAGCGCGCGCCTGTAGTCCCGGCTACTTGGAAGGCTGAGGTGAACAGATTGCCCTAGCCCAGCAGGCTGACGCTGGGGTGGCCGGGAGTGTGCCACTGCACTCCAGCCTGGACAACAGTGAGACTCTGACAAAAAGGAAGGAAGGGAGGGAGGGAGGGAGGGAGGGAGAGAAATAGAAAGAGATGTAAATTCTAAAGCAACAGCTAAATGGATTTAAAAGAGGGTACATCTGGGAAGGAGTTCATGTGAAGGAGTAAAGCAGGGAATTGCTGTACTTTATTATAAATGTTTTAATATAATTTAATATTTTCAAACTATTTGTACACATTGCTTTGATAAAAAAAGAACTTTTTAAAGAACCTAACACAAAAAATAAAAATAAATAAATAAATACTAAATAGTAAAAAAAGGAACCCAACATAGCCTCTGGCAAATGGTGCATGGTTAATACTAGTAATAGAAGATTGATCACATTACTTTTATCTCTTGCTTTTTCTCTGCCCAAGGAAAACGTGACATGATATCATCCAATGTGTCAGCAATAGCATCAACTTGACATTGTTCCACTTCTGTATTTCCAGCCAAATCTATGGAATAGAGAGAGGCTTATCAGTATGTTCGGTTCATTACATTAAAAAAAAAAAAAAACAACATTTTTTTGAGTCCAAGTCTCACTCTGTCACACAGGCTGGAGCGTAGTGGAACGCTCACAGCCACTGTAGCCTCAACCTGCTGGGCACAGGTGATCCTTCCACCTCAGTCTTCTAAGTAGCTGGGGCTACAGGCATGCACCACCACACCCTGCTAATTTTTCTTGATTTATTGTAGAGACGAGGTCTTGCCAAGTTACCCAGGCTGGTCTCGAACCCCTGGGTTCAGGCAATCCTCTCACCTCTGCCTCCCAAAGTGCTGAGATTACAGGCAAGAGCCACTACGTCCAGCAAAAAAAAATTTGCTTTTTAAATAGATAGTATATTCATATGATTGAAAACTCAAAGCATATAAAACAATATCCAGTGAAGACTAGCTTCCACCCTGCCCATTCACTTCCTTTGTCTGTCTTATTAATAACCACTTGTATTAGCTTTTTATTCTTCCATTTTTTATGGAAATACTAGCAAATAGTGTACATCCCATTAGCCATGGCACCTCACCCATGTGCCCTATAGATTTCTTCTTACAAGTAACTAAAAAGCATCCTTGCTCTTTTTTTCAACTACATGAGATTCCTTGGGGTAGATGTGCCACAGTTTATTTAACTACCCTCAAAGGATTAGGTTTGTTTCCAGTCTTTTGCTAATACAAGCAATACTACAATAAATAACCTATATAAAAATAAAAATACCCTGTATATGTTATAATTTATTTTGTAATTTTTTTTTTTTTTGTAGATAATTTTTGTCAGGAGCATTTTTCTCCTGCCCGAAGACTTGAGGTCTAAAAAGAATAGATCGGGGGGGGGGGGGGGGGGGTTGGTTTTTTTTTTTTCTTCTTGTCATTTGTTAATCATTACTGTTGCTAATAAATTATTGGTCTTCCAGCTGGGCAGGGGGGCTCATGCCTATAATCCTGGCACTTTGGGAGGCAGAGGCAAGAGAAATGCCTGAACCCAGAGGTTTGAGACCAGCCTGAGCAACATAGTGAGATCTCATCGCTACAATAAATCAAAAAGTTAGCTGGTAGTGGTGGTGCACACCTGCAGTTCCAGCTGCTTGGAAGGTTGGGGCAGAAGGATTGCCTGAGGACTGCAGGTCAAGGCTGTGATCATGCTACCACACTCCAGCCTGGGCCACAGAGTAAGACTACAGTTAAAAAAAAAAAAAATTGTTGGTCTTCCTAAATAGTTTCTCACTGGTGTCAATTTGAAATGCTTCAGTATGGAAACATTCTAAAATTGATTGCTTTTGCACAACTATATAAATTTACCAAAATCAAGGAACTGTATACTGACAACAGGTGAATTGTATGTAAATTATACCACAAAAGACTGTTAAAGTGAAAGAAATTGCTTGAGTGATTTAGCATTCCTCTGTAAACTATCTTTATTTTGTGTGTGAGATATTCAAAGATTGTGATCTTGAAAAGTCTTCAGAAATTCTGTCAGGTTCTCTTCATTTTCATTCCTACTTTGATTTCTACCTCAGGGTTTCAGCTATCAATTTATGCAGATGACTCCTCATTCAACATTTTTTAGCCCATATTCTCAGCCTCGTTTTGGATATATCTCTGAGTATGCCTTTGGCTCTTGAACTTCTTTCAATAAATCCCAAAGTGGAGTCATCACGCCCTCCCTCAATTCAATTCTTCCTTTTTCATGTAACAATAATGACTGGCCCCCAACTGCAAGTCAGTTCCCACAGGGGCTATGCATTGAATAAAAGAGATCAATTCCTTGCCTGGATAGCACTTATGGTTGATTGGAGAAGGTAGACATTGAAAAAGGAATTGCAAGTTGAGAACAGTTTTTTTAAAACAGGAGAAGGAGAAGAAGGGACGAGGAGGATGAGGAGAAAGGGTGAGAGGCGGATGGGGAGGAAGAGGGGAAGGAGTAAGCAGCAGTCCATGGTGCTATGAGAAAGACAAGCCATGTCCAAGCTGTGATCTGCCTTGTCCTTCCTTCTGGTCAGAGAGACTGCCATTCACATGGTGACATCTTTTACATCCACAAACTTTCTCATATTTTTCTCACTCTCTCTTCTTTTCCATTGCCATCTGGTCTCTTTCTCTCTCTCTCTCTCTCTCTCTCTCTCTCTCTCTCTCTCTCTCTCTCTTTCTCTCTTTCTTTCTTGTTGGGGTCTTACTTTGTTGCTCAGGCTATAGTGCAGTATGCAGTGGACAATCACAGCTACGTCAGCCTCGATCTCCTGGGTTCAGGTGATCCTTCCACCTTAGCTTCCCAATCTGGAACTACAAGCACGGGCCACCATTCCTGGCTAATTTTTTTCTTTTTTCTTTTTTTTTTGGTAGAGACAATGTTTATGTTACCCAGACTGGTCTCGAACTCTGGGGCTCAAGCAGTCTTGCCTGGGCTTCCCAAAGTACTGGGATTACAGGCGTGAACCACTGTGCCCGGTGCATTCTGGACTATTTCAGCAACCTCCTAATGTGCTTCCTGGCAATCATGCCAATCAAATACAAAGTAGGATCACAATAATCTTTCCAAACTCACAGTGGTAGTTATGCTGCTTTTGTAGGTAAAAACCTACAGTTGCTTAAGAAGTAAAGTCCATACTCTGGATGTTTCTAGTCAGATCCAGTCTATTTTTCTAATTCTCTTCCACCCAGCAAATTTGAAGTTTGTTTCTTTTTCTCACGCCATTTTATCTCTGGCTGGATTGTTTCAGTCCAGTGATTCTCAAAGTGAGACCCCTGGGCCACCTGCAACAGCATCATCTGGGAAATTGTTATGAATGCAACCCAAGGTCCACTGAATTAAGGTCTCTTCAGTCAAGGTTGAGCAAAGTGTGTTTTAATGAGCCTCCTGGAGATCCTGATCCACTTAAAGTTTGAAAAAACACTTTCCAGTTCCAAGTCTTCCTCTTGAAATTCCAAATAGCCTTTCAGACTCAACTCAAATATCATTTTCACTTCAAAGCTTAAGTTCCATGATCATAAATAATCTTCATCTCTTTTGAACTTCAAAAAAAACACTTCATTTGTTGACATGTGTTGGTGTAACATATATTTTTGTATTTTTAAAATACGTTGTTCCAAAAATGGAGGTCTACTAATTATGACCCATTTTATTTATGAACCAACTATATGTCTATGGCTTGGATCATAGTAGAGAGGGGAGTGTGATACGGTTGGGAGAATAGTGATTCTGCAGATTGATTGGAAAAAAAGGACCTTTAAGATAAAAAAGCTTTGGTAGTTTTTGACTCAAAAAGAGTATGAGAAGGTATGAGAGGAGAGAGAAGACAATGAAAGGACATCAAGCAAAGAACTAACAATTTCTGCTGTTTGCCATCAATGTCATGGGTACAGGTGCTAACACAATAATCTAGAAGCCAACTACCCACATAAAAGATGCCTTAGATGGCAGTCAGTGGAGGCAAAGAAAACCCCCCTTTCTATTTTGTCAGCATGACTGGGACGAAGGACACCACTGAGTACATGATTTTAACAGTCTAAGAATTTCAGCCTCCATATGTCATATGCATTTCCTACTAATTAATTTTCTCTGAGAACTTACAATACCATACTAGCAAAAGTTGGGGGTGAGACATACCTGTCCAATTTTTCGACTAAATTCCAAAAAGGGATTGAGGGGCAAAGAAGTATAGCGCAGGAGGAAATACAAAATAAAATTGTCTAATTGTCAGTGGAACTCATGGAAAGCTAAATTGTTACAGATGATATGTTTATAGCTCTAGAATTTAATTCTATTCTTATTTGGACTATAGTGTTCTCTAATAGTCATTTAATGAATATCAAATGTTTATCATCTTTTTAACTTATCAAAAATCTTAAATACAATAAATGTTACCTGTATCTTTGGTCAAGTATCTTGCTATTGCTAGGCTCTGGTGAAGGGTAAGTCCATCAGCTTCCAAAACAGGAATTTTGCCAAATGGAAGAGCTTAAAATAAAATGAGCAAAGAATATTTATAACAAAATTAGGAGTTATAATACTTCCATTTTTACTGATAATTGTGGAAACAAAACATGATTTTAAAGTCATGGAATTCTTATTTATTCTTAAAGGAACATTTGACAATAAGTTTAAAGAAGTTGCTAGAAACCTGCATTGAAGTTAGTGAATAATTGGTTATGAACCCCAGATTTACAGTGACGCCATATACTGTACTATATATTATCTTATATACTTACTTTTGAAAACCTTTCATTTAAAGCTTCATTGACTTTGTGGCCTCAATCACTGATCAAATTAATTGTTATAAAAAATATAGTCTGAGGATTATGAAGATTTTGATTTACAAACTAAGTTGTAAGAAATTTAGTCATAGTCTTTTTAAAGTTGATACATAATAATTGTACATATTATCGGGTACATGTGATATTTTGTTACATGAATACAATGTGTAACAATCAAGAAAATTTTAAAATTTCATCCTTAATTTCTTCATTGGTCATTTAGGAGCATATTATTTAATTTTCATGTATTTGTTCAGTTTCCAAACTTCCTCTTGCTATTGATTTCTAGTTTTATTTCATTGTAGAATGGAATACTGCAGTGAGCAAAACAAATCTCAAATAAAGTTGACATTGTGGTTTGAGAAGATACTCTATATGGTTTTGATTTTTTAAATGCATTAAGACTTGCTTTGTGGCTTAACATATGTTTTACCCTAGAGAATGTTGCATGTGCTGGAACACAATGGAAGGAATGGAGAAAAATAATGGGTATTCTATAGTTTCTCAGTGGCAATGTTCTGTAAATATTTATTAGATCCATTTGATCCATAATGACAATTAAGTTTGATGTTTCTTTGTTTTTAGTCTAGACAATCTGCTCAATGCTGAAAGTGGAGTGTTGACATCTCCAACTATTATTGTATTGAGGTCTTTCTCTCACTTGAGTTCTAATAATATTTGCTTTATATATCTAGGTGCTCCAGTGTTTGGTGCATATATATTTGCAATTGTTATATCTTCTTGCTGAATTGACCCCTTTGTCATTATATAATGACCTTCTTTGCTTTTTTGTTTTTAACTTAACATCTATTTTGTCTGATATAACTATAACTATCCTGCATGCTTTTGTTTTCAGTTTGCATGGAATATTTTTTTCTATCCCTTTACTTTTAGTCTATGTCTTTATAGATGAAGTGAGGCTGCAGTATATGGTTGGATCTTTTTTTCCTTTCAGCTAGTTCATATCTTTTAATTCGAATTTAAATCATTTATATTCAAGATTATTATTGACGTCTGTCATTTTGTTAATTGTTTTCTGACTGTCTTGTAAATCCTTTCATTTCTTCCTATTCTATTGTTTACCTTTATGACTTAGTGGAGTTTTGGGGTTTTTTTTTTTCTTTTTTTATAGTGATAAGGTTAGAATCCTTTCTCTTTCTCATTTGTGTATCTTCTCTACCAGTGAGTTTTACACTTTTGTTTGTTTGTTTTTTGAGTTGGAGTCTTACCCTGTCACCAGGCTGGAGTACAGTGGCACACTCACAGTCACTGTAGCCTTAACCTGCTGGGCTCAGGTGATCCTTCCGCCTCAGCCTTCCAAGTAGCTGGAAACACAGGTGCACACCACCATACCCAGCTAACTTTTTTATTTATTGTAGAGATGAGGTCTTGCCAAGTTGCCCTGGCTGGTCTCGAACCCCTGGGCTCAGGCAATCCTCTGGTCTCCACTTCCCAAAGTGCTGGGATTGCAGGTGTGAGCCACCACAGTCAGTCAAGTTGTATATGCTTATGTATCTTCAGGATGGTAGATGTGGTCCTTTCACTTTCAGATGCAGGGCTTCCTCTTTTTTTTTTGAGTTGGAGTCTCACTCTGTCACCCAGGCTAGAGTACAATGACATGCTCATGGCCACCACAGCCTCAACCTACTGACCTCAGGCAATCCTTCCACCTCAGCCTTCCAAGTATTTGGAACTACAGGTGTGTACCACCATGCTCAGCTAATTTTTTTATTTATTGTAGAGATGAAATCTTGTCAAGTTGCCCAAGGCTGGTCTCGAACCCCTGGGCTCAGGTAATCCTCTTGCCTCCAGCTCCCAAAATGCTTGGATTACAGGCATGAGCCACCACACCCTGCAAGGGCATCCTTAAGCATTTCTTGTAGGGCAAGTCTATTGATGAATTCTCCCAGATTTTGTTTGTGTGAGGAAGACTGTATTTCTCCTTCATTTTTGAAGTATTCTTGACTGCCAGTGTTTTTTTCTTTCAGAATAATATTTCTTTCTTTTTCTTTTTCTTTTTTTTTTTTTTTTTTGAGTTCGAGTCACACTCTGTCACCCAGGCTGGAGTGCAGTGGCATGCTCACAGCTATTGCAGCCTCGACCTCCTGGGTTCAGGTGATCCTTCTGCCTCAGCCTTCCAAGTAGCTGGAATTACAGGCATGCACTACCACACCCGGCTAATTTTTTGATTTATTGTAGAGATGAGGTCTCACCAAGTTGCCGGGCTGGTCTCAAACTGATAAGCTCAGGTAATCCTCTCACCTTGGCCTCCCAAAGTGCTGGGGATTATAAGCGTGAGCCACCACGCCTGGCAGAATAGTATTTCTTTCAGTATAATATTTTTGACTGCCAGTGCTTTTTTCCTTCAGAACTTTGAATATATCATCCCATTCTCTTGTGGCCTGTAAGATTTCTGCCGAGCACTCCACTGATAATCTGATGGAGATTCCCTGATATGTTTAGAATTCTCTTTGTCTTTGACTTTTAACAGTTTGACTATAGTAATGTGCCATGAAGAAAATCTTGAATTGTATCTGTCTGGGGATTTCTGAGCTTCCTGCATCTGGACATCTAGATCTCTTGCTAGACTTGGGAAGTTTTCAGCTGTTATTTTGTTAATTGGTTATCTTTAGCTTTGAATTTCCAAAATTCAGATATTTGATTGCTTCATGGTGTCCCATATATCAAGTAGGCTTTCTTTCTTTATTTTTTCCCTTTTGGTCTGATTGGGTTATTTAAAAAGATCTGTTGTCAAGTTCAGAAAGCCTTTCTTCTGGTTGATCTAATCTATTGTTGAAGCTCTCAACTATATTTTTATATTTCATTTATTGAATGCTTCAGTTCCAGGATTTCTGATTGGTTCCTTTTTATAAATCTTTTTTTTTAAGTTTCTCATTCATATTGTGAATTGTTTTCCCGATTTCTTTGTATTTCTTTGTATGGCTTTCCTATAGCTAGAATTGTAGGAGTCCTTGGTGGGAATGTGGACCACTAGGGATTTCTCTCTTACCATTTCCTTGAAGTAGGGAATTCCTACTGGCTCCAAACCAACTCCAGTTGGGTTTACTGCTTCATTTCTCTCTCCTTTCATTCCTCAGAAGTTTCCTATTATAATGCTGAATTACAGTGTTCTCTCTTAGACACTCTATTAGGTATGTGGTTATCTACTTGCTCTTTTAGACCTTCCTTATGGAAGAGGTGAATGTCGGGCACCTCTAGTCAGCTATCGTGAAGTCCCAACTCATTTTGATGAGAGTCTATTTGAAGTATGAAGTATATAGCATATAGTATAGTTTATAGTAACACAGAGAGCGTTTTTACACAAACTCATGTAAGATACCATATTAACTATCTGTAAATCCTAATTTTGGAGGGCCTTTTATTTATTTACTTTTTTGTGAGTCAGGATCTTTTTTCTTTTTTTTTTGAGTTGGAGTCTCACTCCAATGCCCAGACTGGAGTGCAGTGGCACGCTCCTGGTCACCACAGCCTCAACCTGCTGGGTTCTGGCCATCCTTCTGCCTCAGCCTTCCAAGTAGCTGGAATTATAGGCATGCACTACCACGCCTGGCTAATTTTTGATTTATTGTAGAGATGAGGCCCGGGTGGGTCTCGAACCCACAAGCTCAGGCAATCCCCTCACCTCAGCCTCCCAAAGTGCTGGGATTACAGGCTGAGCTACCAAGCCCGGCCTAAGTCAGGATCTTACTCTGTCACCCAAGCTGGAGTGCAGTGGTACAAGGCTCACCATATAGCCTCAACTTCCTAGCGTCAGATGATCCCTCCACCTCAACTACCTTAGTAGCTGAGACTACAGGTGCACACCACCATGTTCAGTTATTTTTTTTTTTGTAGAGATGAGCTTTGACTATTTTGCCCAGGCTGGTCATGAGTTCCTGGGTTCAATCACCTAAACTGCATCCGACTCTTATGTTTTCTTATCTAAGCCTATTATATTTTTGTTACAAAGTAATATGCATAAACTATAGAAAAATTCTAAATTTGTAAATAAAATTCTGCTACATAGTTATACCCATTTTAATATCTTAATTGATTTTCCATATATATTTAAAGATATAATGTATATAATGTTCTGCAAACCACATTTTTCACTTCACAGTATGCTTTTGAAATTTTTCTTTTTTTTTTGAGTTGGAGTCTCACTCTGGCACCCAGACTGAAGTGCAATGTCCATTCCCGGCCACCGCAGCCTTGACCTGCTGGGCTCCGTCGATCCTTCCGCCTCAGCCTTTCAAGTAACTGGAACTACAGGCGTGCGCTACCATGCCCGGCTAATTTTTGATTTGTTGTAGAGATGAGGTCTCATCAAGTTGCCCAGGTGGGCCTCTAACCCGTGGGCTCAGGCAATCCACTCACTTCGGCCTCTCAAAGTGCTGGGATTACAGGCTGAGCCACCGAAACCGGCCTTGAAATTTTTCTAAATCAGTGTAACATCCTCTATTTAATGACTGCATAATACTTTGCCATTTGTATTGATCACAAACTTTCCCAACCAGTACCTTCGTTTTGGACATATAATTATTTTGGAAAGGGGGATTAGAATAAAGTGCCACTTGTACTCTCATGACTTACACAACTAGTGGAATCAACTTTGTGTATCTCCTTCAAGTATCTTTCATGCAAACCTGAGAAAGGACGGGATGAACCACAGTTCACATCAGGAATAAGAATATCTTTATGTCA